GCATATACGGGCACGTCGAAGGCGAGCGAGCCGGAAAGGAAGGACTGCAATTCTGAAAGAAGTGTGCCGGTGCCTTGGCTCGCACTCTGAGCTTGCAACTGAGCCCGCACAGAAGCGACAGGAGGGGCTCCAGGGCGGGAAGGGTCATTTCCAAGGAGCTTTTGGCGTAGCGAAGCCGATATGAGGGTCGAGTATTGTACGAGGTGGCGCAAGGTGCTAAGCCAAGATGGCCAAAAAAATGTCAGCTGACATTGATCGACGCATACAGACCTGGCATGCCGACTCACCGGTCACTGATGCGGTCGAAAGAAGCTTGCTCGTAGAAACCAAAGTCACCAGTGTGAATGATCGCCTGAGCATTGTGTTCTCTAGCAAGAGCGTTTAAGCTGGAGAGGTTGCCTGTGCAGGGCAGAGCAGAGTCAGATGTGAACATTGGCGATTGCTGGCGCTTAGACGCAACAGACGCTACAGATTTTCGTCATCAGTCTCACCTCTGACATCGGCAATGCAAAGCAGTCTTCCACTAGGCCCATCGATGACATGGGGAGGGGCGGCTGGCTGGACAGTGTCCCTACGAGAAGAGGCGCTCGCACCGCTCACTGAACGAGCTGGAGCCACGCCACCCGATGGAGGATGGAGCGTGGAACCGTTTGTGGGAGCACCGCCATGGCCGAATGTAGCTGCTGTGCCATGGCTAGGCGCGGGAGAAATAGCATTGGTGCGAGGAGAGGACATACTGACGTAGATCGCCGGGGTGGGCCGTTCGCGGCGCAAGAGCGCAAGGAACCCGATTTGAGAAGGAGAGCGAGGATGGGATGGACAGGTATGGCAAGGCGTTGGACCTTACCTCTTTGCTAGGCTGGGTTGGGCTGGTGACGAAGCTTGTAGGAAAGGTGCGTGCGCGTATTCGCCACTCAGAATCGGCCTGCTCGAGGTGATGAGTCGTGAGAGTGATATACAAGGAGGGGTCGATGTAGAGACTCGCGACGGTTCAGTCAAACACGAATCACCAATGTGAATGTCGGCTCGACAGCAGTCGACACGCACTCACGTACTCGAGATTGAGACTTTCTACAAAATCCGCGCGCACGGCTTCAAGACGACGGACGACTTGACGAAGAGACGGCTTCAAC